CCCGTGGTGGTGGAGTACTCATTGCTTTTAAGTCCACATTTAAATCACTTCCTATATCCTTAGATATCATTAATGTTGAACAATCATTTGTCCTATTGTCCATTATTTCTACTTCCTTATTAATTGGAGCTGTGTATTTACCTCCGCAGTCTTCTTCTTCAGTTATTGATGCACATATTCTTTCAATTGAAACCATTCTCTTAAATTATAAGCCACAGTTTGTTTTTTTGTGTGGAGATTATAACATACCTAATGTTACTTGGTCTTCCGATAGTTTAGGACTTTCTGCCTCTGGCAGTTATAGTTCAATTTCTTCCTCTCTAATAGATTCTTTCTCTTATTACAACTTTTTCCAGCTTAACTCCCATCCTAATAATCATGGTACAATTCTTGACCTTATATTTTCCAATTCTAATAATGTCACAGTAAACTTATCTTCAGAGACACTCGTATCTCCAGATCCCTACCACCCTCCTTTAGATATTAATTTTCCTTTTCATACAACATGCTACACTGATAATACATACACTTACAAAGATTTTAAATGCGCCGATTATACTAGTATATCTCAATTCTTTAATTCCTTCAACTGGGAGGCTACCTTTTCTCTTTACTCAATCAATGATGTTGCCTCTGTTTTTAATGATGCAATCTTAAATTCCATTAATCTTTTTGTTCCTAATAAAATCTTTAAGTTCCCTCGTTGGGTAACACCCGCTCTAAAAAGACTTATTTTTCAAAAAAAACAAGCTCATTCTAATTTTAAGCGAACAAAAAATCCCAATGATTATTTAATTTTTTCAGAGTTTAGAGCTAAATGCAAACGTATTTCCAAACTAAATTACCAGTCCTACATCAATTACACTCAAAAAATACTTACTCTTAATCCTTCTAAATTTTGGAAATTTACCAAAGATCTTAATAAACACTCTTCCATTCCTTCATCTGTGCATCACAATGGNCAAACACTCTTCTATTGCTTCATCTGTGCATCACAATGGTGTAACCTCTTCCTCACCTACTGAATCCGCTAATCTATTTTCGAACCACTTTTCTTCTGTTTATAAAACCTCTCTTTCTTCTATTTCTGATCCGACTATTTATCCCACCTATCCTTATAATCTACCTGCAAATTGTCTTTTTTCTATCGATGATATCCAAACTCTGTTGGGTTCTCTAAAAAACAATGTTTCGAATGGTCCTGACGGTATCTCAGCACAATTATTATATAACTGCCGTCTTTCTCTAGTATACCCTATATTTTTGCTTTTCAGGCGTTCTCTAGATGAAGGTATTTTTCCTGGAGTATGGAAGACTTGTTCCATCACCCCTATATTGAAATCCGGTGATCCGTGTCTTGTCTCTAATTACCGGCCAATTTCCATCCTGCCTCATATTGCCAAATTATTTGAATCTCTGGTCTATTCCAGTATAAAGCGAAGTCTTAACCATATCATCATTGATGAACAACATGGCTTTCGTCCAGGTAAATCTACCGTATCCTGCAATTTGTCCTTTACAACTTTTATTTTAAACAGCTTCGAAAAAGATTATCAAGTTGATGCTGTCTTTACTGACTTCAAAAAAGCTTTTGATACAATTGACCATCGTCTACTTGTATCTGAGCTTAAAATTCTTGGTATTGGTGACTCCTTACTTTCCTGGTTAGAGTCCTACCTTGCATCAAGAAAACAATATGTTTTTGTCAATGGGGCTAGGTCCAACATTATTGAAGTTCCTTCGGGCGTCCCCCAAGGTGGACACCTCAGTCCTCTGTTGTTTATTCTTTATGTAAACTCTATTAATAATTACCTTTCTAATTCCCGAGTCCTCTTGTTTGCAGATGACATAAAATTTTTTACAAAAGTAGCTTCTCCCTCTGATTGTTTGTTATTGCAAGCAGATCTTAATTCTTTTGTTTGCTGGATTAATCGGGTTGGCCTCTCACTTAATATAAGTAAATGTTATATTATGACATTTACCAGGAAGCGCGCTCCTATTTTATACTCCTACTCACTAGATAGTACCATGTTAGAGCGTGTATTTCAAGTAACTGACCTGGGATTCAACCTGACTCCTTCGTTATCTTTTGACGTTCATATTAACTTTATAGTAAGCAAAGCCTTAAAAGTTTTAGGATTTTTAAAACGACATACTAACCTCTTTACTTCTCCACATTGTTTACGTTCCCTCTATTTTTCACTCGTTCGCTCTATTTTAGAATACGGAGTGGTTTTGTGGCATCCTTACTTAGCTAAAGATCAACTCCGTCTTGAAAGAGTACAGAATCGCTTTTTATCTTACGCCGCTTATTTACTCAAAATTACCCACCCCCCTCATGATTACTCCATTATTCGTTCCACACTTAATATCCCTACTCTTAGTTCCAGGCGATTTGATGCAGACCGTTCATTTATCGATGCTCTCCTTAATGGTTTAATTAATGCACCAGACCTTTTGTCTTCTATATCCTTTCGTGTTCCACCCTATCCCACTAGAAATCACTTTCCTTTCATGTTCCCTCTCATCATACCTCCTATAATAATAATAATCCAATACACAGAATGCTACGCTCTCTCAATAATACTTAGTTTTTTGGTCACATTTACTTTTATAAAAATTTAACTGTCTTATATTAATTATATATTATATTTATATTATAAATCTTAATTTATTGTCATCATTATTTTGTTGTCATAGTTTCTTACTCTATGTTTTACATATATGCATGTACATTATTTTTTTTTTTCTTCTTTTTGTTATATTATGTTATATATTTAGGTTACCATAATATTATTCCTGTAAATTGCCGTTTGGCGTTAAATAATTAAAATAAAATAAAAATAAAAAAAGTATTGAAGAAGCATTATGTATTATTCGAGTATTTTCATTACTATAGAAGTCAGAAAAAATTTTGAAAAGAAATTTTACTTTTTCTCAGTTATCACCAATCCGATTACTTTCAACGATACGTCAAAATATCTCAAATCATATCTAGTCATAGANTCAAAATATCTCAAATCATATCTAGTCGTAGACATTACCCTCAAAAATGTATAATAAAAATTACTGTAGCTAATATTATTCAAAATTAAAATTTTATGAAAAATAATCATTTCAAAAAACTACAAAAAATTACTAAAAATCACGGACACGTATTTCAGTAACAATGTTACCATTATTAAGTATGGTATGGTGGCTATACATATGAACCTCCAACCTAACTCCTGAAATAGACACTTGATTTTCCTGTATGCCTACTAAATCTATGTACTCATAAAATTTAACTCTAAACCATATTTATTTTTGATGAATTTACTTTAAATGGGTTAAAGTTTACACGTGTCGTAAAGGTGTTGAACCATCGACGTGAAAGGTAGTTTTTAAATTTATTTCAAAAATTATGCAAATGTCAAAAAATCTATGAGGACATTATTTATTATAAAAAATCAAATATTTAATATTTAGCTATAAAAATAGGATAACACACATTATTAGGTTTGCTATCAAAATCGAAATGTATGATTAATTTTTATATTCTAGAGTCTAGAATATAAAGANAATAGGATAACACACATTATTAGGTTTGCTATCAAAATCGAAATGTATTATGTAAAACCCATTAAAAGCTAAAAAAATTATCGTATATTATCTTGTTTTCTATATATATTCTTATTCGTTCATCATTTTTTTTATTTATAATTATTAGTTAAATAATATCCAAGCATACTTCACGGGTGTCCATGTTGTCTCTGTGATGTTAAAAAAATCCTATTGTCTCGATTTTTAATTAATTCCAAAGCGCTAACTAACTTTAAATATGAGAAAATATTTTATCGATATTGGAGTATGTACATAGCTGAATGCACTTATAAAAATATATTATTGCCACATTTATTAGTACGCTAACCTTGTCGCTTCATTTAACACTAAATACAAACTTTGGACCATAAAATTCTATAGATGATAATTATAGCTGTAATTTTTTTCATTATCGCTAATATTTTAATATCGTCTAGAATCTAGATATTTAAAGAGGTGTCAAAATGTAGTTTCCGTGATTCTAATTATATTTATTCAATTGGTTATTCATCATTGGTAGTTAACTATCATTAATAAAACAAGTAATATCGGTGCTTTTTTTTAACATAAGTAAAATCAAACATGATATAAACGAAAGTTCAAAATTGATAGTACTGGAAGTAGTAATTTTTGGTGGAAGGCTCCTATTTTATAGAGGGATATTTTTGATATAACGTTAGTTAGCGCTTTGGAATTAATTAAAAATCGAGACAATAGGAATTTTTTAACATCACAGAGACAACATGGACACCCGGGAAGTATGGTTGGATATTATTTAACTAATAATTATAAACAAAAAAATTTGATGAACGATTAAGAATATATATCGAATACAAGATAATGTATGATAATATTTTTAGTTTTTAATGGGTTTTACATAATAGATTAAAAAAAAAAATTTCTAACCGAACATCATTAAGATAGGTTAGACAAATAAAAACGGTCTCTATTCATGTATTGAATTACGACACCAATCATTTTTTTTTTAATTAAGTGTAAATATTATTATTTTTTTGTCATAAAATAATTTGTAATAAGTTTGTTATAATTTATAAACGGTTTCTTCAAGTAATTTGACCTTCATATAAATAATAAATGCAATTTCAATCTATACATTTTTATGGTCCATGGAATAAAAAATTGTTTGTAAGGGAGTTTTAGAATTATCTGTATACAATTTTAATATTCACATTTATTTTATACACATGAGCTGTAATAATAATTACTTATTATTAATTATAATTAAATAAATGATCAAAATTTGTACAGAAATGTAACATTTTAGTAACTACTTATAAACATATTCTTTTATATTTATTGTGTTATAAACTTTTAAATACTTGATTAGAAAATTCGGATATTTTTTATTAAGAATTTTGGTTATAATTTCAAAAATAGTATTTAATAAGCAAGTAAATTACATGATTGCTCTCGGTATAATTATTATTATTTTAGTTCAAGACGATTTATATAATATATAATGTACAAAATAAATAATATTTTATCAGAAAACTAATTAATACAGCCATTCTCATTAGCATAGTTGATTATCTCAAAAAAATTTCTTCTAGTAGCTTCATAAATGGTATTTCTACTCCATGGACAATTATGCTCATGGGCGTATTTTATACAACTTAATTGATTATTTGCAGCAGCAAGTCTTGTAGTACTTTCGTCCCACTCACATCTATTTTCATGAACATATTTTAGGCAGTCTAAATGACCATTTGCAGCAGCTTCCCTTGTTGTGCCTTCATCACATTCACAACCATTTTCAATAGCATATTTCAAGCAGTCTAAACGTCCATTTGCAGCAGCCCCTCTCGTCGTACCAACTATCCAATTATATCCATGTTCATATGCATATTTTAAGCAATCTAAATTACCATGCGCGGCAGCTGTATTTAATGTTGCTTCATGCCATGGACACTCCTTTTCATGAGCATACTTTAAACAGTTCAAACAACCACTTGCTGCAGAAGCTCTAGTTGTGTCATAATCCCATGAACATCCATTTTTATGTGCATATTTTAAAATTTCTAAATTATCATTCATGGCTGCTGTAACTATTGTACCTTCATACCATTTGCAATCGTTTTCATGAGCATATTTTAAAAATTCTAAATTACCATAACTTGCAGCTACTTTTGTTGTTCTTTTATGCCATGGAAATCCATTTTTATGTACATATTTTAAAATTTCAAAATAACCTTTTTCAATAGCCACTGTAGTTATCTTATCATCTAATGGACATCCATTTTCATGTGCATATTTTAAAATGTCTAGATTACCTCTTACAGTAGCCTCTATAGTTATGCCATCATCTAATGGACATCCACTTTCATGTGCATATTTTAAAATGTCTAGATTACCTCTTAGAGTAGCCTCTATAGTTATGCCATCATCTAATGGATATCCATTTTCGTGAGCAAATTTTAAACAATCTAAATTACCTCCTATAACAGAATATGTAGTTACGTCATTATTCCAGTGGCATCCATTTTTATGTGCGTATTTTAGACATTCATAGTGTCCATTTAAAGCAGCGTTTCTCGTTGTTTTTGCATTCCAATGACACCCATTTTTATGTGCATAGATTAAACATTCTAAACGTCCATATGTTGCAGCTGCTATCGTTATGCTTTCATCCCATGAACATCCAATTTCATGTGCATATTTTAAACAATCTAAATTACCTCCTATAACAGCATATTTAGATATATCTTTAATCCAGTGGCAACCATTTTCATGTGCATATTTTAAACATTCATAATGTCCATTCAAAGCAGCGTTTATTATTGTTTCTATATTCCATCTACAGCCATTTTTATGTGCATAAATTAAACATTTTAAATGCCCATTTGTTGCAGCATTTATCGTTGTTCTTACATCCCATGGACATCCATTTTCATGTGCATATTTTAAACATTCATAATGTCCATTCAAAGAAGCGTATCTTGTTATATCAGCATTCCAACTGCAGCCATTTTTATGTGCATAGATTAAACATTGTAAATGCCCATTTGTTGCAGCATATATCGCTGTGCTTACATCCCATGGACATCCATTTTCATGTGCATATTTTAAACATTCAAAATGTCCATTCAAAGAAGCGTATCTTGTTATATCAGCATTCCAACTGCAGCCATTTTTATGTGCATAGATTAAACATTGTAAATGCCCATTTGTTGCAGCATATATCGCTGTGCTTACATCCCATGGACATCCATTTTCATGTGCATATTTTAAACATTCAAAATGTCCCTTTGCAGCAGCGTCTCTAGTTGTTTCTTCATCCCAGCCACAGCCATTTTCATGTGCATATTTTAAACATTCGAAATGTCCATTTGCAGCAGCTTCAATAGTCGTATATTCATCCCATTCACAATTACTCTCGTAAGCTAGTTTTAATGTTTCTATGTCACCAATTTTAGCAGCTTTTCTTGTGATACCTTTTTCAAACGGACATATTTTTTTTTCACCCAAATATTTATTTTCAATACCTAAATAAGCACATCAATTAAATTTTTTTTGGAGTCAAATTTAATTAGATTATTTAAAATTATCTAATAAACTGTATAAGATGCCTAAGTTTAGCCCCTTTTTTATTTTCATTAATTATTAATATTCTGTTTGAATATATTGCTAATATTTATGTTACCTAATCAAATAATTTACGATTGTAAAATTATTTTGTATAATGTAAGAGTATTTCTTTTTTGCATATAACAAAGTAGTATTATTCATATAATAACTTTTTAATATTATTCGTACATCGTTGTTATTTTGAATTAGCTTAAAAGAGATTATTGATTTATTAATATAAAACACCTTGATTAATACTAAAAATATTTATGTAGTTATCATCAGAATATTTTATATCTACATTGACACAGCCCAGCATCGCTTCGTTATACACGATGAACCACGTGTCGTGCCATCCTTATCAGCGGTCGCCCTACTATGAGTATTTAACTGACCAACACCAATTGCTATACGCTACGGTGTACAGCAAGTCCACACGGATGATGATGACCCGCCGCCAATGATACGTTGAGTCTTTTACCCGTTGTCTAAGTTACAACGTCGACGATGTATTCCACCGGCTCCGGACGTGTCGCACGACCAGACTCGACGAACCTATCCGCACCCGCTTACTGTCACCATCAACGCTGCTAACTTTTTGATGCCCGAGAACCATGCCGGACATCGCATCGCAGACGCCAGTGAAAGTACCGCGATATCTTGCGAAGATTATTATTAACTGTGTTTGTCTTTTTGGTTTGTTTGTTTTTTTTAATAACCTATTGTTGCTTACGAATAAACGGTCTACGAGTCTTTACCTTCAAGTATTGAGTGTTCAGTATAATTTACTGTTTATAACAAGTAATTTAAAAAAAATTTAATTTATGGACAGTTATTTTCTTATGGAGAGCTTATTACCCTCCTATGTGAGTAATTCCATCTAAAATCTTTTGAAAATGTTTCATATATTAGATGAAAGTTAAGAAATTTATTTGATAAACTATATGTTGTAATATGCCTAATGCTTTGCATTGCGCATCTTACATTTATCGATGAAAAATGTATAATCTGTATTTTATATTACTAGTATACACACAAATTATTAATTTATCTGTTATAACATATACATTGTTGTACACTAGCTATTATATATGTATAAAAGTGTTAATTGATTATTGTATACTATACATCTTATCTTAAAATAACTATCATGTTATGTTCAATTTAATACAATAAAATGAGAATCACTAAAAGCGCTGACGACAACAACCCATGAAGGGAGTAATTAAAACTTTACCAGTTAGGTCATTTGGAATACCTCTATAGAGAAACTTTAATCATTTCTTTTTATATCTACTTATCTTTATTATTCTAAATCCTCGAACTCTACAACCCCGATAGAACCTCGTTGCTTCTGAATTGACTAAATCCCCAAATATCCAACTTTGGTCAAAAATACCCCAAACACCCTTTACTTATCTTTCTATTACTACATAGAATAGACATTAATAATATAAAATCAAATTTACCTTCATTAAAAATCAAACATGAAATTATCATAAAAAAATATATCGATTGCCAGTTCTAGAAAAAAATAAAATTATCTTTCAGATTTCAATAAAGTACTTCATATAAAGTGGATAACTTCCTCCATTTTACACCTCTTAATTTTACTTAAATATTTTATTATTATATTATAATATTATATTATATTTTAATGGCAATTTTTCAATTAAATAAGTGTACATATAAAAAATATTTTTTCACATAATGTATTATTTTATGATATTCTTCAGTTTAAAAAAAATTATTTAATTAATTATTTTAGTTTATCTATTCATATACATGTAAAAAAAGCAGGATTGATATAAACAAATGTTCAATTTAATAAATTGTAGTGAATTTTTATAACAAATACAATTATATATTAATTTTTTTATACTATAGTATAAAATTATGTTTTTATACTATATGCTCTATATTATTTCACTTCGTTGCGAAATTGAGAAGATATTAATTTTACCATCAACTTTTAATTTTTTTTTTTTCTGTGTGTGTATGTCACTACTTTTTTCAGCTCTCACTAGACAGATTTTTTCAAAGATACGTCAAAAGATCATAATTAATATCTAATTGAACATTATTTACAAAATGAGAAAAAATACCATTATTAAAATCGATAAAAGTTGTGTTATTTTTTAAACTTTTGTTACTTAAAACTGCCATAACTTTTTTAAAATTAATTACATAATAAAAAAAAACCCAGCACAGGGGGGTCGCGGCACAGTGGTGACGTGGTATAGATGGATCAAGTATAATGATATCTGACAGAGAATAAAATCACTATCATAAAAACGCTTCGAAGCAAATCTTTATATAGTGTTTAATTTAAAAAAATTGGTGGATTATTCCAAAAGCTACATGATCTGCTAGTTCCTTAATAATATCCTGATTAAGATAAAGTATGTCGAATGAAAAGGGGGTTATTAAAAAATATTATTTCTCATAACAAAATTGTGTTGATCCATACACTTTTCAATAAGTTATAGCATTATAAAGTTAAAAATGTAAAAAATAAAATCGAGAATTTTCACACAAAAATAGCATTTGGTAGCCATTTTCACCGTGAAGACAAAATAAAATCCGAAATTTTTTTTTTAAGTTAAAGTATATTAAATTGGATTTAATTTAATATATATATAAAAGTGTCAGACCTTCCGGAACATTTTCAAAAGTTAAGTTGAAAATGTTAAATTTGTGAAAAAGTTGTCATTTTAAATCCCCACTGATGGGCAGATAAAGGGTCACATTTACATAAAAAATATACCAAATGATAGGTAAAGACATCAAGCATCTATAAAAAAGTAATTATATTGATATGTTTATTTTTGAAAAAGTTACGGCAGTTTTTATTAAAAAAAATTGAAAAAATTTCGAAAATTATCGATTTTTAAATTTGTATTTTTTATGGAGGTTTCCCCATTTGCGGGGAACGAGGGAAATTTTTTCAATTTTTGAGGGTAAAAAAAAAATTAAAAAAAATTAAAAAAAAAAAAAAACACATCATAGTAAAACCAATACCTTCTCAGCTTCGCATTGAAGCTAAAAGATTTATGAGTGAGTTATTAATTATTTGCTGCTTTAATGTAGATACAATAATTGTTTTACAAGGAAGTAGGCTGCCCTTTCAATAAAATTGTTTTAACTTTCAATAGTTAATGATAAATTACAATTTCAATTGGACACTGAATACTCAAACCCTATTAACTTCAACACTTCTCCTGTAATCAACAGATTTTGTTAAAGAATACGGAAAAATATAATTAGTTCCCACTTAAACTATTCACTTAATTAATTTGAATTAAATTACTAAAAAAAAAAAAAATTAATTATGTATTTATAGATAAAAAAAAATGTTATTTTTTTAAAACATCATTTGACAAAAGTTTAAAAACGTTAAATTTATTTTTAAGTTATACTAAAATAGTAACCTAAAATAATGCTATTTAAATTTTTTCGTTGCTTAAAATTACATTAGATATTGAAGTATTTATTTTAAAATATATAGACGTTATTATTTCATACTTTTAAAATAAGTATGAGCAATGCTTGATTTAAAAACTTAATGGTAAGTAAAAATATCAAAAAATGTAACATTTTACAAAATTTCAATTAAATATCAAATTTTAATATAATTTATTATTTATATTAATAATATATTGCATTATCATTGCTAATATAATTAATATCGTACAAATGTATTAATGGAAATTAAGTATCATTGTCAAATGCATTTATATTTTAATAAAATTTAAATTATGGAATAAATATTATTATAATTCTTTAATTATTGTTTTACTAATAATTTTAATCGCTATATGTGCTAGGATAGATTTTCGAAATACCTTTATTAGTTAGATACTCAAATTAAAAAATTAAAAAAATTCTTAATTGGAACAACTCAAAAAATAAAATAAAAAGATTCAATAAAGGCTTTAATTAAATGTATTTCATCTCTGTCACTGACCTTACACCTAACTAGGGTTAATGCTAATCGGCTCTTCTTTAGGTCTATTGCCTCTTTTTTTTTAGGTGGTTCATTTGAGTTATCATATACATCATGATCAGAATACTGGTTTGGTTATTCAGTCTAATCAAGTTCAATATTACGAATTGGATCTATAAATAAAATATTGTATTTATCAAATTTAAGAGTAGTTTATACATTTTACAAAATATATAATATTATATGAATAAATGAATTAATTTAATTTTAAAATTACCATTTATATGTCAATGTATTTTAACTTTAACCTGGTTCTATTATTAACTTTTTTTTTTAACATGGTTTGTCGTTTCTGATGTTCAACTCTCCAATATTCAATACCGGATAATATTTCATCTACTCCTGCCCTATGACCAAAGCGACCTTTTTTCTTTGTAGGATAAGAAATTTTCTGTCAGTAGGATAAAATAGGGTCCCGTTACGCTGCGCTACACTTCAAGTTTTCTTATTATGAGATGTTTAGCAAAACACATTCTTAAATTAACACTACTACTGCCGACACCACCAACAATGCTGCCGACGACATTTCTTGTAAATATAGGTTTTTAGATTAATATGTTTTGAATCCTAATTGATTTTTTTTATTTTAATCATTAGCATAATTTGTTTCAGCAACGCGTTTGTTTAAGATAATTAATATTTTTCGTAATTTGTTTTTTAGTTTTTCGCCTTGTCACTGTTATTAATTGTTGTAACCGCGTTTATATTCAGGCTTATACAGCTGCCACCACTAACGCTACGGATGTTATTGCAATATTGTTTGCGTGTCAATACGATGAAAACATTTTTATACTAATGGATTTTCCTCTATTATCTATTAATTTTTTTAATAATTGAATGTGATTACCTATATATTGATGGTCTATACACTCTAGTATTTATAATATTATTATAATCTGTATGATTATAATTGTATACACTTATCGCTTAATGTTATATATATTTTGCTTGAATTTTTACTCGTATCCCTCCCACTGTTATAAATTATTACTGTGTTTAACAACTTCATTTCATTATTTTTGCAATAAATGAAATAATCGTCTTGACTGGAGATCATGCGGATCGCATTCTACATTCGCCAACACATATGAGATGGCAGATAGTCATAATTTTTGCAAAAGCGTCTGATTTAAATTCAAATGACAAATATCTATAAACATGTAACGTGACAAAAAATATCTGCTTACTTTTTTTGTCTATTTGTATATATAAGAATATGTGTGTGTTCTAAATTATCTTAGATGATAGGCCAGTCAACAAAGGAAAAAAGACGAAAAAAATTCCTAACCAATTTTTTTTTTTTAAAAGTTGATTTAAGATATGTATAATGACATAATAAAATCGATTGGACTTGAGCTTTTTTTTTACAGACTTGCAAAAGTTCAAAAATATGAGCTTTTTAATTTTCTCAAAAAATATTTAACTTACAAAAAAAAGTTTCGTACAAAAGTTATTTAAAATAAAATTTTAAACAAAAAAAATATCTCATATTTTTTCATTTAAACAAATATTTTTCGAGTTACATTACATTTAATATGAGTACTAAAATTTATTTTTCAATTTTTTTCATTTTTATGGTTACTTTTTATCATGTTATACTAACATTAGACACAATGTTATAAATGCATATGCGTTGATACGATCACATTTGCATGTGCCCATATCTCTGTCTCCCATAACATCGTTGTACCGTTTAATAGACATATATATATATAATTAACACAGTGACATACAGCAATACTAACAGGAGGGCGGACTGCACACATAAACACTTTTTGCAATTCACGGCCAATGTGCCATAATAAGATATCCCTATCGACAGTTGACATTTTACCATCTTCGCGATCACTACTTTTGCCTGATAATTAACTTAACTTCGCTACCCCGTATATTATAGTGTGTGTGTGTGTCGCCGTCAGCTCCCTGTTGGATTAATCATCTCTAGGTGTCCAGCAGGTTGTATTATCCATTTAATATTTCANAAGGTGTCCAGCAGGTTGTATTATCTATTTAATATTTCAATTGTTTAATAAATATTTATTTATATCGTTGTTATCCTAAAGTGTTATATATATATATATTGTAGTGCGACCCTTAGTAGTTCCTCTAAGGGAATATAAATTAAATAGGAAACTTCAGTACCTAAGGTAGATATAGCCTAGCCAGCTATCCCCCGTTGGTCCCTTAGAATACTGTCGACGGGCATTTAGGCTAAACCCCTAAATAGCGACGTAACAATTGGTGAAGGCGCCGATCTCTCTGTTTTATTTTAAACTTTCAGTGAGGGATCCCCCCCTAAGTGTACTACAATTTTTATATACCGCTTTTCACGGTTAATTTATAAATTAAATATTTTTTATTTATTATTGGCTCACTTTATTATAATAGTAACAATTGTATAGTTAGGTATAACTATAAATTAAGTNAATTATTAATTTAATTATTAATTACTTAATTATTAAATCTTTGAGTTACATAATCTTTTATATACGTTTA